GGGGGGGGACCTCGAGTTTGACACCATGTAACATGCAAAATCATGACTTGCACACTTGTTTTACCAGTGCATGAAGGGATAGAGGTGAGAGGAGGGTGGGGGCGAGAGCGAGAGAGATGGTTGGAAAGTCATCGTATACATTAGAGAGAGCACTCTCGTACTGATGGGCTTGACCCATTGTCAGTATTCCTAATGCCTTGTAAAACCTTACAAGCTACTGGCAACATTTTCATCAATAATACGAAATGATTCCTTTTTGCATGACCGGCAATCTTTTCTTTCATCAGTAACACGGTATATTACAAAATTATACACAATAAGTAACTACTTAGAAATCCTGGCTGGAGTCGCAGCAGCAGGCCTCAGGGTGGGGGAAGTAGGCGGATGTCCACATTGAAAGGAGCAAACTTATCTCCAATTAAAATGATATGCCCCCCCCCCTCCCCCGGTCAAACAGGGAATACTGTCGAACAATGTACGTGATTGTGACAAGTGAGTCTTTCGAGATTTGGCTACAGAAACGCATATTGTCTGGATTTCTTCGCGTTCTTTGGTCCCCCTAGCCCCGCTTAAGGTATAGTAGACGAAGTGCGATACTTACTTTCTACTATTTATTGTTGGCCCTGTTTCTCCTTTATCTAGTTGTTGCGCTTTTGCCATCACATTCTGAATCATCGCGCGTTCTTCTTCGCTTAAATGACTCAAATCCACTTCGGGCACACCACCTGAAACAAAACGAACACACAATTATTTTCCGAGAAATGTAAAAACCAAAATTCGCTCTTTTTCCGAGCTGTGTTTGAGCGAGCAATAAACGGTGTAGTGGCTCCCAAACAAGAGCTTTTATGAATTAAGTTTGGCTTGTCCCTTTGGACGCAACAGGTTGCGCGTTAAGTCCGGACAGTTGTCAACGCGTCACACAACCTCAAAGCGGCACTGTTGACAACTCGCCACACAGTTAAATTTTACTCTTTCTTTGCCAACACCAATTGGTGTACATTTAAATCCACTCTGTAGGGAGCGTAGGGGTTCCATGATACCCATTTTGGATTTCAGCCCTGTACCAAATGGCAAAGTACCCTCATTTTTACGATTGGTATTGTAGTAAGGAGCTTTACCTTTCGAATGACACCTATTTTGTATTTTAGTACGACCCATTTGAAAAAGTGCCTCCAAAAGGGCAGGCTGTTGCGGGCTGAACGCATTATGCTCGCAGGTGATTTTGATTTGATTTATTTGGTTTAAGTAGGTACAAAAGAACTATTGAGTCCTACGAGAGTACCATCAGTATTTACATTGATTTCAGTCCAAGTACAAAACACAGAAAAACTAGCGCTGGTAACACTGTACAAAAAGTTAACAAAAATGAGTGATTTAGAGTAATTAAGATTTTTAAGCGTGGTGCTGTACAAATAGTAAGTGATTTTTTAGTTTTGTTGTAAAGGACGGAAGTTTCGTACAAATGTGCAGAGCACAGGGTAAAGTATTCCACTTAGAAACTGCATGAACCCAGAATGCTCCTTTTAATTTAGCAGTAAAGTGAGGCGTTGGCTTTCATAGATGAAGGTTACAATGTCTGGTAGGTCTGCATCTCTGCTCTCCGGTAACAACTTATTAAACAGGTAGTTTGGTGATTGTACAAGCATAGTTTTCTTAAGAAGTACCAGTGCGGCGTAAGTGGCTCTACTCTCAATATTACGCCAATTTAGCTCGGTTAGGTATGGGCTAGTGTGGCAGTCCCATTTGAGGTTAAAGAAGTTGGTTGACACGACCGGACACTTAAACGAAGAGGACCAAGCTGGAGTTTGTTCTCTTCGTACAAGTGTCCGGTCGTGGCAACCAACTCCTGCCTGTGAGGATTCTCGATTCCAGCTATCGAATTTAGCCTACCAAGCATAATTGATCCTCACGACGAAGTCATTTTTTTCCGTGTACTGTGTACAGGAGAACGAGTATTACAATCAATGCCGTGTAATTTATGTATACAAATTTCATCCCAGAATCCACAACGACAGACATGGTAGCAATAGTTTTGGGCAATATCAACGGTAAAACTAAAGTCGGTAAAATAATTTTTTTCTTCAGTTTTGTAAGGAGTATTTCAAGTACACTCACCAAAGTTGAGTATGCGTGTGCATTCTTAGTACGTCGTACATTTAGAGCGAGAAAATGTGTATATTTTTCAATACATGTGTGGGTAGTGCGACTGAACCTATCTCGGACCAGATTTTCGTATTTCCTCGCTATACTCAAGCTCTCAGATTTTGAAGCAATCTTCAATGGTAAAACAAGTGTGCATAATTTAAACACCAACGTGTGCAAGTTATGATTTTAAACATTACGTGGTGTTTAGCTCAAGTTGCACACTTGCGTGGTGTGCACATTTTAAACGTTTTGTAAACGTTTAGATTCTGCATACTTGGGACACACACACACATCTATAAGAACTATATCAGGTGCAGCTGCTATACATTTCGGAAGAGTAGAAATTTAGACACCAATTGACGTTTAACCTAGCTAAACACCACCATTTTTTTTGGAGAAAATTCACACTTGAAGTTACACACCAATCGGCGTGCAACATTAAACACTTGTTTTGCCATTGTTGTAAATAGAGACTAACAGACTAGTCCTTCTTTTACAAAACGCATTTTTGTGTGTGTCCGAAATACGGACATATGGATGGACCTAGGGTGGCAGAACAGTAGCTGGGGTGAGAGTGCTCTGTCAACTCAAATGCGTACATTGTATACTTTAAATAAAGCGTACATGGCATGATTCCTTTATTAATGTGTACATAGCATGTACGCTTTTATAAATGCGTACATAGATATGTATTGGTATGCCCATGGGTATGTATACATTTCTAAAAGTGTACATTAATTAAAGTATACATGTCATGTGCGCTCTATTTAAAGTATACCATGTACGCATTTGAGTTTACAGAGTGGAGAAGTTTGTGACCTGCGTGACACCCTATGGATGATTCTTCTGGCCTCTTCTCGAGCCTACGATGTGTCACACAGTTGCTGGCACCAAAGGTCGGGCTCCTTTACCCTCCATTCCACTCTCACCCCCCCGTCACAACGTGGCCACGAAGTAGGGATGAGAAGAGCCGGAAAAGAAGCAGAAAAGTAAAACAGGGGGTTCAAAGGATGGGAAGACGGCAAGGGGGCCGAGGGGAGCCACTACAACAGCTAGAGGGAAGCCAGACTGCAAAGGACAAAAGCAAGAGATGAGGCTGCGCACCCAAGCGGGACCCCAAGGGGGTCCGTTAAGGCTGCGACCCCAAGTGGGACCCCCAGCACAATCAGCTACTTCCAGTCCATTTAGCTGGCCCGCGGCCACCGCAGTACTGACGTCACAGAGCAACAAGGGATGCAAGAGGAGGCTGACCAGACAGCTTCGAAGGACCGCCCGCTGACTATCGACGAGCAACCTCATCGCACCATCCGCTTTGCATTTAACTTTTCATACTTTCAGTCAGTACAGTAGGATATTTTGTAACAATAATCGTTTAACTCTGGGTCGTGCGTACTCTTAGATTTACAAGCATAAATTGACGGTCAATATAGTGGATCAAGGACAACTCGCCCCGACTCTCTCGTCCCCGGTCCAAGTCGACCCATGCCCTCCCCGGTCCCGCCCTTTTCGGTCTCGGTCAACTTGTCCCCAGTTATATGAAAAACGATTAAGTGCACAAACCACAGGGCACTTTATTTTACCAGCACAGACGTGAGCGAGATTTGCATACTAGGTGCTACAGTAACGAACCATATATTACTGAATTCAGTTTTTAACGTAGATTACGACTTTCATAATTATATTGCTCGATGGTGGCTTTCTGACGCTACAGGGTCGTTTTTCGATTTTACACCCAAAAGCCCATAAGGAACCCATGTTACAATGCAAAGACCTTGAGCGAGTGGTACACGGGGTCAGATCGGGACGAACGCGGCGGTTTTGGAATGCCCAGAGCAAGGGTCATCTCTATCTTTAACATCGAAACCGCCGGTCTGATAGTTTTTTTTGCCGTTGGCCACCCTACCTCTGCGTGGTAGTGTAGTTCACCTGCTCGCTTAGGGTGAAGAATGCCCTATGCGGCCCCTCGCCCCGCCCCCATGTGAATCACATTACTACCCCTCGACAATAAAGCAAAGTGTTCGCAAAATTCATGGAAAATAATAACTAAAAAAAAGAAAAAATGTTTCGGGGGCGAGTTGGCACGGACATAGGGGCGGCTTTTTTGATGGACCGGGGCCGAGTTGGGTCCGGGGCGAGTTTATACCAGGGGCGAGTTAACCGGGACGAGTTGTCCGTCACCCCAATATAGTCACAATTTTTACCTTTCAACCCTGCTATTTTATCTTCCCCACTCGTCAATGTAGAGCCCGTTGGGCGAAAATTTCGTCCGTTTGGCTCTATCTCCAACCGTTTAGGGGCTGGAGGGTCATTTTTTGACGAAAATAAGCTAAAGATTGCTGTAGTGAACAATAAGTTGTAGAAGAAGGCCTAAAAAACGCAAAATAGGAAAGAAACTCCCCCCCCCCCACGCCACCCCAAAAAACGTTTTCTAAACAGAAGGGTGGGTTGTAGTCGCAGTGCTTCACATCCCTTCTCGTTTCTAAGGGTCAAATTTTAAGGACAACGGGTTTTTGACGGCGCAAGGCCCGTTACATCATTTGATTGTGTTCCTCAGAAAATGGCGTGACAGAAATGGTCGGGCCGCAGGCCCGACCATCGCCGCCGGCAGGCCGAGCAGGCCCGGCCCCTGCCAAACGGAGTTGCCGGCGGAGCTGGTAATTCCGTTTGGCGGAAGGGCGGGCCTGCTTGTTTGTATCACGGATGCTGAAGAAACTGCATATCCAAATTACAGACTTTTGATTTTTTTTTTTTAGAGTGAGGTGGTTTGCAGAAGCTCACTCTTTTCTTGGCTTCCCATTCACTCCGACACAACACATACAGTAGCAACATTTGGCATTGCTGGGCCCATGGCCTACTATGATTTAATGATTTAGTTTTGATTCAGCAGTATTTAGTGTCGAATTTTGCTTGTCACTATTGCAAAGCACGCACGGCGCTCCGGCGCTGGCGAAACCACGCAACTCCACTTTTAGGGTGATTTTTGAGACCTATACCATTGGTACCATTTACCATTTATGATACAAAACGACCCTAAAAATCCCAGGTCGCTAACTCAATTCGTTCTCGAATTATCGTGACGACAAACAAACAAACAAACAAACAAACAAACACACACACACACACACACACACACAGACGCAAAACGTTTGATCATCACTGGAGTAATAGGCTTCGCTAATCGCTCAGCCAAAAAATAATATTTTTGGTGACCTGTCGTTTTTGATTTTTTAAGGAGTCAATTTTTGAGCTAGAATGCTCACCTTTTAACTCGGTCTATATTTCTATAATACAGAACGACCATGAAATTCCTAGATCGCTATCTCATTTCTCTCACGAGTTATCCCAGGCCTAAATTTCTATGACCGTCCCATTGGGATCCCATGGACACCATGGGCAAAGTCTCATCGGTATTGCAAGGTTTCCCATGGAAAGTTTGTTTTACCCCATGTGAGCTGCAGCATTTCTCATGGTGAGTCCTCCCCGCACCTTGGTAAAACAGGGTTCTCATGGGGTAACTGGTCCCATGCTATCTTCCCATGGGACTTATCTGCCCCCTTCCCATAGGAGTACCCATTCCATG